CGGAACAGCAAAGGACAATGATAATTCCCGAAGCTCCTTGGAAACAGAAGGGCTGTAGCCGTCGTGTTGATTGCGAAGACAACAAAGTACCAACCAGGCTGCCACTGTCTCCACCATGTCAAGGCACGCACAAATCGACTCAATGCAGCTGAGCTTGACGTCTCTTCAGAGCCTGAACTCGTGTCAAAGCTTTCCAAGACCGGACGTGCCATGGAGTCGAGCGTACAAGAACTGGGCAGGCTGCTAGAGGGCACAAACTCGGGCCTGTACACATCAACAAGACCACATATAGTATGCTATGTAGCAAACTGCTGTATCGACTACTATATAGTCTACTATATAAGACTAACAGTCTACTCACGGATATATATATATATATATACATACATATATACATACAGAAGGGAAGTGTGTATGTCTATATCTATATATAGATGTAGGTATCTGTATATACATATACATATACATATACACATACACATACACATACAGATACATATACATATACATATACATATACATATACATATACATATACATATACCTATACATATACATATACACATACATACACAGATACATATATATATACACATATGTTATGTATACATCTATATCTATGCATAACTAGAACTATACCTATATCTATATCTACATCTATAACTATGTCTATATCTATCTATATATATATATATACACACACACCCTCTGCACGACATATACTACAAAAAAGTCTACTGTATAGTCTAGTATATCGTCTACTATACAGTCTGCTATATAGTCTACTGTATAGTCTACGATGTAGTCTACTGTAGTCTACTATAGTCTACTATTTAGTGCTTCAAACATGTAGCGCGTGTAAAAAAGTAGGGAAGGGGAAGGGGGCAAGGAGGGCGGGGGGGTGCTGTAACAGGTTCTCTTGGGGGGGGAAAGGGCGCGGGGGGGTTGGGGGTAGAGCTGAATTGCCCACGTCGTCAGAATTTTGTACCTATGCAATTGGGACATTGCTTACAGCTAGGGAACCCGGCATGCTGTACCTTCGGGCCGGTGCCGAATCATCGCACGATGCACTCATGTGTACTGCACTGTTTTGCTTACCTTTTTTATACCTTCCATACCAGTCTACGTTCTTCTATACTGTTATACACTATGCCATACTGTGCTATATGATATGCCCCCGACACAACCGGGACACGTCCTGCCAAGCCACAAGCTCGGGCTCCAGGCGCCTCTTCAAATCACACCTCGCCTCCTGTCGCGTCAGATTAGCGGAGCCCTTGTTGCAACCCTACACTTCTAAGGAGCACCTTAGACTGGCTGGTTCTTAGTAGGGAATGAGGGAACGACGGCCCTTTTTTCATCCCTTAACGGGTATAAGTAGGCCCTCATTCCCTCATTCCCGACTAAGAACCAGGGGTAGAGTGGTGTCTAAGACCCCAGTAGATTGCATAGAGTTCTACCGAATCGCCGCAAGAGAGTTGTTGAGCAGTGGACACTTAAGGCACCGCTTCTGCCTTTGCTCAGAAAGGAAGGGGGGCTGTGAGTTGATGATCCTTTCAAGCTCCAGCAGCACCTCCAAGAGAACGTACCATTGCGTGGCTTCTTGCTCTTCAGGTCTTTGAACAGCTGATCTTGTTTAGTTGCGAAGGGACCGCATTGAGACAACCCCCCCAAGTATAGGCGGTCGATGTGCCAACAAAGGTTTCGGGTCTGATTCAAGGCGTGGTCTCTTTTCAATGGTGGAATGCAACCCAAAACAGCCACCCATGAAGCCCTAAACCCCGAAGCCCTACAGCCCCTAAACCCTGATATTTTTGAAACCCTCAACCCCAAAACTCCAAAACCCCTACCAACAGCCCGAAAACCCCTTAACAAAAACCTTGAGATCCCTGAAGGGTTTAGGGTGTCGGGCTTAGGATCTTAAATCCTCCCTAACCCTATAAACCCTAAACCCTAAACCCTAAACCCTAAACCCCGACAGCACCCTGGGGCCCGGGAGCCTGCCGCAGATGGTCCGGCAAGCGGCGCAAGAGATCCGTGATGGCTTGGACATTCAAAATGCCCTGAAACGAGACAAGCTGTTCAGGGCTATAGGGCTTACAGGTGTTTTTTCTGGGGTTTATGGGGCTTTTAAAGATTTAGGGCTTAGTTTTTTGGGTCTTTAGGGCTTGCAGGGGTTCAGTGTAGTTGTGATTGCTTCGGCGGCGGCAAGGGAAGGAATCTTTCCAGGCTAAAAAAATGAAGGTTGCTATTGTGATGCTGACATGTGAAGACTGCTATTGTGATGATGGCGCTTACTACCATCCATCAATGCGATCGCTACTGCGACGAGTTATTACCATCGTTGCTGGTACTTGTTGCTGCCGTCGGCCCAACTTACATACTGCCCACGATGCCACCAATCACACCAGATCCCAGAATTGACGCCCACATCCTGTAGACCTGAGCAACAACGTCCACAAGCGCCAGCATGGTCCTAAAAGAGCCCAATACCCATTAATTTCAGGAATATACCTTAAACCATAAGAAGGATCCCGAGTAAACAATACTCCCCAATTTTAAGGGATATTGGGCTCTTTGGAGTGTTGCCTGCAGAGGGAGGGACGCACCCTGCCGCGCAGGGGTGGCCACCGGTACTCACCCGCGTGGGTTTCGGAGCCAAGTGGCTGAGCGTGTGTTTTTCGTGGTCATGCTCGGCCCCCACGAGGCTCCAAAAAGCCACCCGCAAACCCTAAACCCTAAACCCTAAAGACCTAAACCCTATACGCTCTAAGGCATCTTGGCTGCACTCAGGAGGGTAGCTATAAATTAAACTTTAGCTGCCTTATTACGAAACCCAATAAACCCAAAAAAGGTAAGGATCTAAAGTTACGGTAAAGTACCACAAAGTCATAGACCCCCAAATGGCTCCCTTTCCATGCGCATCGGCCACACCACAGGTGGACCTGTCATGAAGGGCCATGTCGGAGTCACCAGAAGTGCTTATGATTCTTTATGTAAGGCCACCATAGGAGTTCTGGCGAACTGGTGTTGCGGGGCTTAAGAATGAACCCAAAAGGTTCTGTGGTTGCAAGATCGAGTGAAGGAGGTTTAGCTTGAGATGGGTGTCGGGCATCGAGTTCTCAGGGCGTAGGCTGCGGTTCCTTTGGCCTTCTTGACCCCCTCCCCTTCTTGCCTTCGACTGTGGAGGTCCATGGACGTCTACTACAGTTGCTACTAGGAATACTATCCGTACTACGACTACCATTCGTACTAGTGCTACCCTGGCTGCTATCTCACAGCGCGCTGTGAGTGCTGCAGTGTGCAATTCAACACCGTGCACTTGCGCAAGCTGTGTGCTGTGCGAAGAAGTTGCCTGCAGCCGTTGTCCGCATGCGAAATGCCATTTCGCATAACTTTGGCTCAAATGCGCCGCGTTGGTGTCGTGTCTTTTTCAGGTAGCTGTTGTGGCCACGCTTCTGAGTTTGCCGGCCTGGGAGGATGTGTTTGCGCAGCCTTCGAGGCGCGAACGGTGTGGTCGTGGCCGCCTCCTTCTGCAACCCGATGACAGCGCATGTCGCTACGTGTCGCTACGTAGGGACCCCGCGTGCACGATGGTATGCTCTGCCGACCATTTGCCATGCCTGGCTTAGGCACTTAGACTGTGCTTCGGATCTGTCAAAGCGATCACGAACCATTACTTTTAAACCCTGAAACCCTAAACCCTAAACCCTATTTCCGGCAAGCCCCACATTACTTTTCGTGCTCGAGCGCGCAAAGGCTCTCTGAACACAATCTGCACTGCGGAACTCGCGACTGGCGATGTTGGGATGGCGCCTGGCAGAGTTTGGGCGTCTAGGGTTTAGGGTTGAGGGTTGAGGGTTTAGGGTTCGGGGTTTAGGGTTTAGGGTTTAGGGCTTAGGGTTTAGGGCTTAGGGCGTAGGGCTTAGGGTTTAGGGTTTAGGGTTTAGGTTTTCAGGTTGCCGCAGCACCTCTACTGGACTGGCTCCGGTGCTCGCACGCAGCCAACAGACAACTCTCTCATCCGACGGTGGCTTTCGATATTGTAGGGGTACAGTACCTTCTTAGGTCCTTGTTATAAGGGGATCTTACTTTTTTTGGCTACTATAGGGGTACACTGCCTACTTCCCCCTAATTAAGCAATATGGCCTAATTCATAATAATCACCCTTAGTATAAATTGGGGTACGTTCCTTAAGTAAGGTTTGGGGGTTGTCGATACTTTAGGGGTGCAGTACCTGATTCAGGTCCTTCTTACAAGGGAATCCTACTATTTGGGGGTCTATTTTTAGGGGTCCCTTCTTTTCGTAAACTCCCAGATGGCTATGATGGCCATGACGCACAAGGCGGGCAACAACCCTAAACCCTAAACCCTTAACCCTGAACCCGAAACCCTAAACCCTAAACCATGTTCCTGTGAGGCTTGGCGGGGACAGCCATCCTCCCCCACACGTCAGCTTGCGTCTTAGCAGCACCAAACTGAGACCTTTAGGGTTTAGGGTTTAGGGTTTAGGGTTTAGGGTTTAGGGTTTAGGGTTTAGGGTTTAGGGTTTAGGGTTTAGGGTTTAGGGTTTAGGGTTTAGGGTTTAGGGTTTAGGGTTTAGGCCAATACGTCTGCGATACTGATTGGGGTTGGTTTTGAGATTACTCATAGCTACAGGCCGACCTCGGCTGGAGAACTGGGATCAAGGCAGCATTAGGGACCGGTACGCCAGCTTTTTGGGGGCACCACGGGAAAGCACCTGTAGGCCTCCATTGCAAGCAAGAGCACCCTGTATGTACAAAACTGCAAATTCGGGGTGATCCCGGGAACTTAAAGCCGCCCCTTCGTGGAGCTGAGAAACACAAAAAAGAAATAAACGCGAAACGGTCATCCCCTCAGTGGCGCACAACCTCCGCGCGCTCTCGCGCTCTCGCGAATAAACCCTAAACCCCAAACCCTAAACCCTAAACCCATCAACCCTAAACCCTAAACCCCAACCAAACCCTAACACCTCTCCTTCACTTCCGCGCGCTCCCGAAATGCTTCCCGAACTCCAGGGGCGTGAGCAGCGCCCCGTCGAGCGCCGACCGGACCTGGGTCTCGACCATGTCGGCGCCGATGAAGACGACCTCGGTGCGCCGGTCCCCGAAAGGGCTCCTCGGCTGTTGGACCCCGTAAAAAGGGGTTTAGGGTTTGGGGTTTAGGGTTTAGGGTGTAGGGTTTAGGGTTTAGGGTTTAGGGTTTAGGGTGCAGGGTGTAGGGTTTAGGGTTTAGGGTTTAGGGTTTAGGGTTTAGGGTTACTCCAACAAAACCCTCTGAGAAAAATGTTCACGAAGATACATAAATACTAAAGTCCTAGGTATCATCCTAAATCAGCTATAACCCTCTTCTCAACCCAAGAAAAAAGGCAGCATGCAAAACATACCACAGTTGGGCCTAGGTTCTTCTTATACTGCTGGGCCCTTGGGGGCCACTGGTCGGGAGGCGTCGTGATACCTTAGTAAACCCTAAACCCTAAGCCCGAAACCCTAAACCCTAAACCCTAAACCCTAAACCCTAAACCCTAAACCCTAAGCCCTTCCTCATTCAGCCACGAAGATACACAGCCACCGGGGGCCTGGCTTCAGCTCGGCGGAGAGGCCCGCCGAGCTCCACTCCACAGCGTTGTCGGGGTTGCCGGCGGACCACCTTCAGGAGAAATATGAATCGCCTAAACGGTTTAGGATTTATAGGGTTTAGTGTTTAGGGTTTACGGCTTAGGGTTTAGGGTTTAGGGTTTAGGGTTTAGGGTTTAGGGTTCAGGGTTTAGGGTTTAGGGTTTAGGGTTTAGGGTTTAGGGCTCATAATACTTAATCGGGAATACTCGTAGTATAGGGTCTAGTAGAGGGCCTAAGGCCCCCCAAATTTTAGGGTTTCCTTTGTGGTCCCCCCCCCCCCAAAGGGCACGCGAAGCCCTTGGCGCGCAGCACACCGGGGAAGGAGAAAGTCCCGAGCATCTCGGTGAGGCGCTCGGGGTGGAAGGGCCGGTCGGCGCGGTAGACGAAGCTGGAGATGCCGTACCTATAAGGACGGCCCTTAAGGCCTTAAGACCCTCTGAAAAAATCTATTCCTGTAATATAGGATCCTCCTAAAAGCCAATAAGGGAAAATATCCCTAAACCCTAAAAACTAAACCTTAAACTCCACAAGGGGAAATATCTAGGTACTCCTCGGTCTCCGGCTTGTGACCTAAACCCTAAACCCTAAACCCTAAACCCTAAACCCCAAACCCTAAACCCTAAACCCTAAACCCTAAACCCAAGGTACTCCTCGGTCTCCGGCTTGTGATGGATGCCCATGAGCTCCTGGGCCCACCCGGCCGCCATGCTCGCGGACTTCATGTCGAAGCTGGCGGTGTTCAGGAGCATTGTGGGGCTCACCTTCCGGTTTAGGATTTAGGGTTTAGGGTTTAGGGTTTAGGGTTCAGGGCTTAGGGTGTAGGCTCACCTTCCCGTACTCGGACTCGATGATCTTGGCCTTGGGGTTCAGCTGCTTCAGGATGCCCCTCAAACGGGCCAGCTCAGTGGAGGTGACGAGGTCCGTCTTGTTGAGGATGATCACGTTGGCGAACTCCGCCTGGTCCACCAGCAAGTCGACGATGGACCTCTTGTCCCCTTCCTCCGCCCCCAGCTCTTTCCTGGTGACCAGCTTGTCTGCAGAGCAGTAATCCTTCAAAAAGTTCTTGCAGTCCACAACCTCATTCATGACTAAAATACGAAAAATCTAAATGTCTATCCCTTATTGTGTCTAAGTACGCTTAGACATGCAAAAAAAAATCACCCCACCAAATGTCTATTCCTTATCGTGTCCAAGCACCCTTAAAACATGCCAAAACCTGCTATATGACAAACATGACGAAGCAACGGTCACCAGCGTGTCCAGGCGCGCGACCCCTCCCAGCAGGGGGCGCCCCTGGGCGTCCGCGGCCGCGAAGGTCGCGGCCACGGGCATGGGCTCCGAGATCCCGGTGCTCTCCTGAGGAGGGCCCCCCTTGAAACCCCTCTAGGATGGCCCTGAACGCCGGGTTTGGGGTTTGGGGTTTGGGGTTTGGGGTTTAGGGTTTAGGGTTTAGGGTTTAGGGTTCAGAGTCTTCCTGAATATGACCCTCTTTAAACCCAATCAGGGAAAATATGGCCCTGTCCCCAGGGCCGACCGAGTCTCAATGACCAGGTGCTCGAAGCGCCGCTCCAGCGCCAGGTCCTTGACCTTACTGGTGCTTAAGGGGGAGTGGAAGAGTGAAACCCTATACTAGTCCCTATATAATCCCTTTATAATAGTCCCTTTATAATAGTCCCTTTATAATAGTCCCTATATAATCCCTCTATAATAGTCCCTATAAAATCCCTTTATAGTAGTCCCTATATAATCCCTTTATAGTAGTCCCTATATAATCCCTTTATAGTAGTCCCTATATTCACGCTTCCACTCTCCCTTAAGCACCAGTAAGTGACGCTTTCAATCAGGTCTTCGCGGAGGGTGCAGCAGATGCAGCCATTGTGAAGCTCCACCATCTTGTCCTGCTTAGGGGTTTAGGGTTTAGGGTTTAGGGTTTAGGGTTTAGGGTTTGGGGTTTGGGGTTTCGGGTTTAGGGTTTAGGGTTTAAGGTTGTGAAGCTCCACCATCTTGTCCTTGTTCTCCTGAAGTTGCACGCCATCCTTCACAAGATCCGCGTCGATGTTCACCGAGGCCATGTCGTTGACAAGCACTGCCACGCGCATGCCCTCACGATTAAAAAAAGGGGCCTGAATAATTAGAACAGGGTTTGGTGGGTTATTATAGTATCATGATGAAGGAACCATAAGGGAAAACTACTAGTAATTCTTCCGACCCCTATATTCTTTGGGGTCCTAGCCCTAAACCCTAAACCCTAAACCCTAAACCCTAAACCCTAAACCCTAAACCCTAAACCCTAAACCCTAAACCCTAAACCCTAAACCCAAACCCTAAACCCTAAACCCTAAACCCTAAACCCTAACAAGGGGAAGAGGGGCCTACTCTGGGTCCTCACGATTATTCAGCACGTGGGTGAGCAACGTGGTCTTCCCAGCACCGAGGAAGCCGCTTAGCAGCGTGACTGGCAGCTTGTCCTTCTCTTCCAGCGACTCGCTCATGCCTTTCAGGGTTTAGGGTTCAGGGTTTGGGGTTTAGGGTTTAGGGTTTAGGGTTTAGGGTTTAGGGTTTAGGGTTTAGGGTTTAGGGTTAGGGTTTAGGGTTCGTTGGGCCTTCCAAGGTGCCAGAGATGCTCTGGCCATGCTCGGGTCCCTGCGCGTGCGCGTGCACGTGGTCGTTCGCGTTCACGATCTGAGCCGTGGACAGCCCTGTCTCGGCATCCGTGCAGGCTGCGTGCTTCGCCTGTGTGCCTTCTTTCTTCCCTGTCGGGTTGGGCCGCGGCGCGGCCTTCTCCGGCGCCGCCTTCTCCAGCTTCTCCGTCTTCTCCGCAGTCGCCTCCGAAGCGCCAGCCTGGGACACATCGGGGACCGTCGCCTGCGCCTCATCCTTGTCCTGGCTCGCTTTGTGCATGCCCTGCTCGATGATCATCTTGGTCGTGTCGTCACCGACCTCGTACAGCTCCTTCATCACGAGACCCAAGAGTAACCAAGGAACACCAAAATGCCCATTTTTGGTTTAAACAGGCCTTATACAACGTCACCTAAACGCAAAAAAATCCTAAGAAAAAGGAACAAAGGGCTTAAACTTGCTCTAGGTCCTTCATCATATCCAGGATGCCATCCTGCTTCTTCTCCTTAGGCTCCTCGTCATCGACCGGCTTGCGCCGGCCCTGTCCACACAGGTCCAGCCACACGTCGTACCCTCCGACCTTGCTCTTCACCTTACGGTGGGCTAGGGGGGAATGAGGGAATGAAGTACCCTACAAAATCCCTTAAAGGGTATATATAGGGGGATAGAGGATAGAGGGTATGAAGTACCCTGCATAATCCCTTAAAGGGTATATGTAGGGGGATATAGGGTTCCTCATTCCCTCATTCCTAGTAACCAACAGTAAGTCGCCTTCTGAAGCCACACGACGACGTGGTTCTTCTTCACCTTGAAGGTCGAGCCACCTGGCACAATGTCGTGCTCCAGGTTTGTCTTTCGGAAGCGATAGTTCTTGCCATCGAGCCCGAGCACCTTGAGGTCAAGGGTTTAGGGTTTAGGGTTTAGGGTTTAGGGTTTAGGGTTTAGGGTTTAGGGTTTAGGGTTTGGGGTTTGGGGTTTGGGGTTTGGGGTTTGGGGTTTGGGGTTTGGGGTTTGGGGTTTGGGGTTTGGGGTTTGGGGTTTGGGGTCTAGGTTTAGGGGGAGGACCGAGCACCTTGAGGTCAAGGGATGACTCCGTGAAGTCGCAGCTGATGGCCTTCGACGGCAGGGCCTCGACCCCACGCAACCTCACGTCGACGGTGACGAAGGGCTTGTCGCCGTCTCCCAAGTCCAATGAGAACACGGTGATCTCCGTCCAGGGACCCACGGCCGTGGCGCCCGTCGTGTCCTTCGCGTCCTTCGCGTCCCTCGCGTCCTTCGCGCCCGTCGCATCTTTCGCGGCCGGGTCAGCCGGAGCCTTCGTCTCTGCAGGGGCGGTTGCGAGCGGCGGCGCCGCGTCCACTGCTGGTGTGGGAGCAGGGGCCTTGGCGAGCGCAAGCTCCGACTCAAACCTCGCCTGCATCTTCTGCAGCTCCTGTCGCACCGCGTCCTGCCTGGACAGCATGAGCATGGCTGCAAGCTCGTTCAGGGCAGCCTCCAGCTCTGCAACGGTCAACTGTGGGTCAGGCGGCGCATCAGCCATGGCGGTCATCAACGCAAAGCTCCCCTGGCTCCAGAAGTGATACTTACTCAAAATCCCACTACGGCGCATTGACGCACGGCTTGTGGCTCTGATGCATGAAACCCTCTGGTGTGCACCTCGTATGGCCCGAGCCGGATGGGGAGCGCGCAACCCCGCCCCAACACGCACAGCATGCAAAACTGTGACAAGGGTCGGTCACGCCTGCGCAACGACCTCTGTCGAACAGGCACGCTCAACGAATGAGCCGCGCTCGAACATGATCACAGCATCCGCCAGTTCTTTGAAGCTTCTCGTACCATCTGCAACGAGAAGAAGGACAATAGCACAGAATGTCGCCGTAAGAGTTCAGGCCTGCAGTGCCCGAACCTCCTGAAAGGGAACAACCCTGTACAACTTCCCTTACCGTTTCCGTTTGCACCTACAAAACAGGTCATGCAGGGGTATATATACCTTATAAAGTCCCTATCTGCCTAAGTAGCTCCTAAATAACATTAAACAACCCTGTTGTACCCCCCCCCCTCCCCCTGCCTCCCCAGCGAAACAAATCGAACTCTCTATTTCGCACCCTAAACTCTAAACCCTCAACCCTGAACCCTAAACCCTAAACCCTAAACAGTGTTCTTCTCGCTTTCGGGCGTCGCCGGCTTTGGGCGACGGCCCGTGAGATGTAGGGCTTGGCAATACTCAGGCATAGGGCGGCAGAAGAAAGACTCAGGACTCTTGAAGGGCCCGGAATACAGCTGCCTGGCACATCTCATGACGCCCAGGAAACTGTATTTCTTATTTTGGTTATGGTAATCTTGATGACTATTCTTATGGCTATGCTTAGTACGACTGCTGTTGACTTATTATGTTATGACTCCACTTGTCGCAAGGAAGATAGCTACCCGGTTGCGAATGCGTGCGGCCTAGGCATTGGCGCCAGCGAGGCCCTGGCCGCAGGGGGGGCTTTCCATTCTCGAGCAGAGCGCCGTCCATGCGGAGTCGAATCTCCACAAACCCCTAAACCTTAAACCCTAAACTTCCTGTTGCTTAGTAGGAATGAGGGAATGAGGTACCCTATATAATCCCCAATTCCCTCCTAACCAACAGTAAGTGTAAGTAAAACCCTAAAGTCCTAAATTGCCCATATGAGCGAATCCCACTGCTAGCGTCGTTGTAACCACGCTGCCTGCTGTAGGATGTCCGTGCCATCATGCCAGGATGAGCTGCCCCTAAACCCTGACCCCTAAACCCTCAACCCTCAACCCTAAACCCTAAACCCTACACCCTCCCTCTCTGGAGCCGAAGCACTATGATGATGAAGAAGTTGCGATGCTGCCTGCTACTCCACAGCGCACCCCCACCATCAACGATAGCTTCCAAGATTTCGCGATATTTCCTGGGCAGACGTTTGGTTGTTGCAAACACTTGATTTGTTGAGTCTTTAGGGTTGAAGGCTTCCAGTTCTTCCACTGTACGATCGTACACTTTAGTGTACTATAGCCTACTATGGTCTACTACTGTAGAATTGGCCCCCTTGACCAGAGCTTCAGCAAACAAACCCTTTACACCCTCAACCCTAAACCCCTGAACCCTAAACCCTAAACCCCCAAACCCTAAACTCTGAAACCCTAAACCCTAAACCCTAAACCAGCTTGTGAGGATTCAAGGCCTGCTGGGATGGGAGGCCCTACATGGCTTCCTGGCGTTCATGTCTGCTGGGCTGATATGGGCAGTTTAGTACTCTAGGGTTTTAGGGTTGAAGGTTTAGGGTTTAGGGTTTAGTTTTTAAGGTTTAGGGTTTAGGGTTTGGGATTGATAAGGCTCTTAGGGTTGAGGGTTAAGGGCAGTCTCGTTTACCATTGATTACTCATTATTTCGATTTTCGATTTATTCATACGTATAACTTCTGATTACTCCTTACTACTCGCTATTGCTTACTTCTTGCTTATTGCAGTATTCTTAATGATAGATGACCCCACTGCACTTCCAAAAGGACCCCTGGCTTAGTTTAGGGTTTGGGGGTATAATCAGCCCCGCAACGACATGCCGGAGCCGAACCGAGCATTTTGACCAACATCATGCGCAGTAGGTGGGGGGTCACAGGCTCTTTCAACTCTGGAAAGGCTGACGGTCCCAAAGTCGGGAAGAGCAATCTCACGCCGACCGAGGGAACATGCTACATCGGGCTCTCTCAAGTGTGCTCAGCGAGGATGGGGCCGATCACCTGAGAACATCCTTCCGGTACTTCTTTCCAGAAGCAGGTGGCGCACCGAAGCGCGTGTAGGGTTTAGGGTTAAGGGTTGAGGGTTTAGGGTGTAGGGTTTAGGGTTTTTAGGGTTTAGGGTTTAGGGTTTAGGGTTTAGGGTTTAGGGTTTAGGGTTTAGGGTTTAGGGTTTAGGGTTTAGGGTTTAGGGTTTAGGGTTTAGGGTTTAGGGTTTAGGGTTTAGGGTTTAGGGTCTGTTGACTCTGAGAGGGCGACCTTATTCGGTCGCCATGCTTTTGCCTTTCTGAGAGGGCGACCTTATTCGGTCGCCATGCTTTTGCCTTTGACGATGATGTGGCACACTTCTGACCATGTGGGCTGCGCCTTCGTGCAAATGAGCTCAACGAAACCTCGATTTTTGCAAGATGAAATACATCATCACCGCCAGCACGATACACAAGATGAGGTAAAGTCCAACTCCAAGAACCGCCCTTGCCGCATTTGGCTCCACGAAGTTAACCTTCACTTCCGTGTAGTCGGGATGCAAAGTTGCGCACATGATGCCGTTGATCTCTCCAACTTCTCCAAGGGCCGCATTGGAAATCTTGTTCACTTCCGCCAAGAGAACAACAATGTTGCTGGTGAAATCATAGAGTGTGAAGGCTGTTTCTCCTAGGCTCATCAGACATGTGAGGACGATCGTGGTAATTGTCACTTCATGTGTTGACACCAGAACGCCAGCGATGTCTCCCACAGCAGTGGCACTTGCAATCAGAAGCATCCAGATGCTGTTCTCTTTTAGCTCCTGGAAGCACACAGCTCGGCCAATTACCCGAACGTCAAGTCGCTTGACAACCCCAAGAAGGGCAACCCCTTATATGTTCCGAGCAAAGCTACCAGAGACTCGCTTAGCCATGCCGGCGCACCGTTTACTTTGTTTCGGGGCGGACCGGACCACTTCGACACAACTCACGTGTCACAAGAATGGCAGGAAAGAGGCGAGCTGTCCTTCAGCGTCTCCCGTAAGTTGATCAACGCGGCATAGGAGTCCCCTTTGCTCATGCACTGAGCATCCACGAAGATCGCCATATCCTCCTCAATGCCCTCAGCGGTCCTTAAGTTGAAGAACTTTGCCACAAAGTCACATGTGACACCTGCAAAAACCAGCACGCCCACAGAAATTTTCAGCGAAAGCCAGAAGACGGCGTTTGTCTGCTCCGTCTTTGTGTCCTCGCTTCTCAAAACGAACTGTGACGAAGAAGGCCGAAAACACTGCGTTTATCCCCACACTAACTTAGAAAAGGCTTCACGAAGACAAGTTCAAGCATCGGCAGAAGGAGCTGCTCCTGGCTCCAAGGCAAGGGTTGCGTCTGTGGTTGGTGCATGGTCTGCCCGTTCACCTACGTGTGTTTGGCCGCCCAATGATCTTCTTGCGCCAGCAACTGTGTTCTTCAAAGTCTTGAGCACTGCGTCCCGGAACCCTGCACCGCCGAAGACTATCTTCGTGTTCTGGTAATAGAAGAAGTGCGCGACAAACATGATGGAGGTCAGGATGAGGCTACAGAAGTCCATGATAATGTCTGCCAACGTGAACACGAAGATGCCCTCCAACCCTCGCGAGATGCGGTGCCACCTGGGACTTCCCCGAAATGGGGGGGGGGGGGGGGGTGTACCTTAATTGGGGTCCTTTGCATATAAGGGAATTCTACTACTTGGGGTCTCGTTTAGGCCCGCCTTTGGCAGTCTGCATCACAGGACTCATCGAAGGCACTCAAGATGTTGGCCATGACGGTACCTCCGCACACCGTCCGATTGGAGTCGGTGCTGACGCATTCCGGGTTCCAGTGGGCCGCTTGGTTCTCACAGTAGCGGCCGAAATGGGACACTGGGCAGCTGCAATGAAAGGCACTGTCGCAAGTTCGGTTGGAGGCGCAGCGCTCGAGGGTGCCTGCTCCACAAACTCCACCTTGGACCGATACTCCCAGAGCCAAGCTTCTGTGCACATTCGGGCTGTGTTGTCAGTTCATCACATGGAAGACCCGATACGAGGCCTGATGAGAAGCATGACCAAATTACTGCCGGCTGGACTTGCCACTCGCACATCTCTTGTGTCATACAGTCGTCAATGGTTATCAGCTTTCTACACTCAGCAGCAAACTTGGGATGCCTGCTCTGGCAGTCGGCAGGCCTTTCTTGACAATGCCGGCCTTCTTGCCAACACTCCCACGTGATCGGCCAGCATTGGCCCCCGCTGTGGTTACCCTGGTTGGTCTCGGAAGGTTCGCAGAGCAACTGACCGACGGAGCTGTTGGCACCGGCGACACTGCAGTTGCAACCTAGCAGGTCCTCCGATTTGGCACCAATGGATATGTTGCAGTCGCTCCCGGTCCATCCAAACTCACACTCACAATCGCAAGCAGATCCTCGCTGAAGACCTACACCATGCCCACTGCAAAACTCCCTGCTGCATCCTATGGAGCATGTTGGGCCAAAGAAACCCGCATCACATTTGCAGCTGCATGCGGAATCCGAGAAGATTGCCTTCCCGTGACCTCCGCAGAAGTCTTCCCGACTGCACCTTTGCTCACAAGTTTCACCCAGCCAACCTGTAAAGCAACTGCACGAACAAGCTCCGACCACACCACTGGTATTCCCGTGATTGTTGCAGTAGGTGGCATCGCAGAAGTCGATGTCGGAACAGGAGCTGCCTCTCCAGCCCTGCGAACACTCACACTCGAACTCGCAGGTCTGACTGTCCAGCAGCACTGCACTGCCATGCTTACCGCAAACGAGGTCGGTCAACTCCGTGCAATTGTCCAAGAGCTGGAACGTCCACTCACAACCTGCCCCGTTGCAAGCACCTGGCGTCTTGTGTTGCTGGCAGTCTGGGCTGGAGGGTCCTGTCTGCGACAGGCACCTCCAAAGGACGGCCGCACCCTTCGAAACGTCCTGCTGGCATATGGCGCCTTGATGCGCCTTGCAGCCAGCAGTCCCAAGATGGCTCTTGGCAAGATGCACAGCGAAGTTTGTCGGTGGTGGTGGGGCAGCCATCACAAGACTTGATGCTGCCTGCCATCTGCCTCGCCCGGAGTCTGCAGGTGCTTCCAAACTAACCCTCATCGCATTGGTGCAAGTCGACTTCTCCGTGTCCTCAACAGCCACGCCATGGCCATTACAGTAGGAGGCTCGGGTACACAACTGGCTGCATGCCCCGCCATACCAGCCGGCGTTGCAATCACAAGAGCAATTGCCCTCCAACCCAGTGGCAATTCCCTGTATTTCCCTGTGAGGAACAATGGATGGCATCATCACACGCGTCAGGAATCTCACAACGATCCCCAATCCATCCCACGGAACAGTTGCAGCCACAAGTCACGCTGGCTCCTCCGGACGGCGAAATTCGGACCTGGGCTCTGCAAGCGCTCCCTACTTACACGAAAAAATGAGCGCAGCCAAGCCGGACACACCCTTCTGGCACCTGAGAAATCACAAGCCATGAGAGAGTGGCCTCAAGTGTCTTAGGGACCCGAGCTCCCGGCTGGGATTGGAGTTCCGTGCTCCCCACAATGCAGCGTCGCTGCGCAGAAGGCGCCTGCACAGAGGCATCCTTCCCACGCTGCGCCCCCTGCAGCTGGTCCTGAAGCTCCACACACAGCATGAGACATCGCGGCACCATCGTCATCCATCCATCCGTGCACGCAGTGAGGATATGGTGATGAGCTGTGGCAGTCACTGCCCGAGGCAGCACAACTGCTGAACCAAAGAGGGCCTCCGGAACTGTGGGAACCGCACGAGGAGTCCCTCTCGCTGGCACGGACGGTACTGAGGGAGCAAGATACCCACAGACTGCCAATGCAACCGGAAGAAGCCGTTTCACGCGAATCCCTCTTGATGTCGGAAGAAGAACGGCTATTCAAGAAGTACTTGAATGCATCCGAAGGCCAACCTGCATACATTGGCAAATGACCACAGGAGCTCCACTCTGCATTGCCAGGGAGCAGCTGCACGACGTCGAGGTCTGTAAGGAAGTCATCCCTGATCACGACCGTCTGACTCGGACTCTGGGCCGGATGATACGATGACGGGCTGACACCGTACCTGGACGAGAGCACTGCAGAGAGCGAGCACAATCCTGGAGGGCTGGTTCTGTGACTGCTAGCTGCGCGAGAGTCCGGATGAGACCGCCAGAACCCGGTAGGCGTGCTCACGCTACTTTTTGCTGTAGCGGACTGAGAGGGAGGAGCCGGATCTCTCTCCAATCTGCCGGTCCACTTCTGCAAGCGCCGGGTGTCCTGACTGTGTTTGATTCCTTACTAAGCCACTAAACTGGCATGCGTGGGGGATCCTGGGGTATGGGCCCTCAGACTTTAAGTCCTTAAGCTTACCCGACCCCCCCTCTCTCTGCCTTTCAAGCTGGCGTCCTGGACAGGAGGATGGAAAAACGGTTGCAGCCATGAGGGAGACTTCGACCTGGCTTTCTGGAAAATGTAGGCCCAGCGCTTGTTCGGGAGACTCGGCACCTGCATGTTGGGGCCTGCCCAATGGAAAAGCCGAGCGCTGGCGTGGTGGCAGTTTTTGGTCATGAGGTTGAAGCGCATGTCGCCCAAGAGCTGGAACCGAAGATCACTCAAGCTGATGCATCTGCGAAGCTCATGCGGAGAAACTACAGCATGAAGACGCCCTGGTGGACAAGGCTCACGCCCAATGAGTCGAGACACATCAATGTTCAAATGGCTCAGCTTCTCGAAGACGTAGCTGCCATCAGCTGTGTGCGCAACGATCAGGGAATGCTCAGCCCCAAACAACCAGCCCAAGTGGCCGGCGGACTGCACACGCCACTCAATTTCGAGGACACGCTTGTCCAAATCGCGCCTTCCTAGACTTTTCAACGAGTTCTTGCCTAAGGCAGTGGGTCCTCTCAAAGCCAAGAAAGTACCGTTTGCATTGTTTGTGGCGTCCGTCTCATAAGTGCACTGAAGCCATTGGCCTCAAGGGGTGGCCCAACAGGGTTTCAAAAGGTTTAGGGTTTAGGGTTTAGGGTTTAGGGTTTAGGGTTTAGGGTTTAGGGTTTAGGGTTAAGGGTTTAGGGTTTAGGGTTTAGGGTTTAGGGTTTAGGGTTTAGGGTTTAGGGCTCAGCGCGCAGGGCTTAGGGTTTAGGGTTTAGGGTGTGGGGGTCAGGGAACCCACGAAAAAGTCAAAGACAAAACATTGGATGCGTCTAAATCCGCGCAACTTTACAAGACCAGGATCAATATGCAAGGACACTACGCTCTTGTAACGATAAATCTGGTTATAATGGCTACTGGTATAAATTACAGCATTGATATAACTATTTTCTTATTATGTCTATAAACATTGCATTTATTAACGTTTAGAAAAAACAAGCAGAATCCTTACTATACGTATTCTTTCGTGAATAAGAAAATTACCCGAATCAATTTTAATGGTTGCATATGGTTGCATTCTGCTGTTTTTAAGCACTATAGATTTTGTAGCCATTCCTAGACATCTTATAACTGTTGCGAACAGTACTTGTTATTACGACTATACCTGCTTTAGTTGTAAATATTTTTAGGAATTGTAGTTACTGTAACTATTGTAACCCTAAACCCTAAACCCTAAACCCAAAACCCTAAACCCTAAACCCCTAAACCCCTGAACCCCTAAACCCTAAACCCTAAACCCTAAACGCTAACCCCCCGGCCTTTGGCCTGAAGCTCAAGGATGGTCAGAGTGACAACCACAAGGCACGTTATCATCACCTGAGCCCGAATGAAATTTCCGAGTGTCCATCTTTTTGGGGGCTTGCAAGGGGAGATGGGTTTGGGGTCTAGGGTTTAGGGTTTAGGGTTTAGGGTTTAGGGTTTAGGGTTTAGGGTTTAGGGTTTAGGGTTTAGGGCTTGCAAAGGGAGTTATAAGGTTTAGGAATTTCTGCCAATTCACGAGTGTCCATAACAGGGCTCGTAAGGGAGCAATTGGATGCGTTCGGCCCTTTTGAAGATCACGACTGAAAAATACAGAATCACAGATAACTGTCGTGGGTGCCCAAAATAAGACAATAGGTGAATTTGTCTTACCATTGCCCGGCCACTACCTGCAGATGCTTCTTCGAAACACACCGCGCAAGCATGAGTTATCTCTGCTGCAGTAGATCGTACCTATAGCAAAGACTTCTCTCAATTCGATTTCCAAGCTGCACACTGCCCGCAGCGAGCACTGCATTTAGGCGGCACAACACCGCCCAGGATCATGGATACTTCCGTGGAGCACAATGACAAAATATGACAAAATCGATTCCAGCCAGAATGGCTAAGAGATTCAAGCACGCAATGCAAGGCCAATAGACGGTGCCACGGCTCCTGCTTTGCAGCTGCTTTGCCTAAAACCCTCTCGCTGATTTTCTTGCGCATCTCCTCCACATGCGATAAGTCATCCCAAGAGGCACCGGCCAGAAGCTGCGAGAAACACTCCTCACGATGCCTCACTGCCTCACTAGTCTAGGTGAACATTGTCGGTTGCCTCCTGGCAAGATGTGAAACCTTGCACGATTCCAGCATGTCCCAAAGTTTTCGAGGGCACGCTCGCAATCTCGCTACCCAGCGCGTCCGTATGCTTTGAGCAGTCTAGGCCACAAGTCTTCTGCCAGTACGAAAGTGTCGACTTGATGGAGGTTTCCCCAAAAACAGGGTACCCTAATTTCGGAAACCGCCGTAATAGTGATACCCCTATTTCGGGAAAGGTACTGGGCTTTGTCCTTGATCTCACCGCGGAACCCACAGACATGCAACCCATGTTCACTTGCGGCAACCTGAGATCTCAGCAACTTTCAGCCGATTGACGAGGGTTTTGGAGAGGGTTTTAGAGGGGGGGGGGGCTTGAGCTTGACAGGTTTCAGGTTGTGAAAGCTCTGTCGGGATGCTGCAATTTTGCGGGCCTTGGGGTCTTAGGGTAGCGGTCTTGCAGCATCTAGAACTCCCCTAGACGTTGGCTTTGGTGAGGTCGGAACCTCGCAAAGGCTCGTAGACGGCCCCAAAACTGATTCCCACTCCTGCGAACATGAAACCTCCAACATCCCAAGCCACTCCGAAATCCTGGCGCCCCGGGCCGCGCTCAAAAAAAAAATCGCAAAAACATCGTCCGCGGCACCCAGTGCTTCGTATCCGCCCTGCGCCATGGCTCCCTGGGCTCCCCCAAAAAAACTCCCTGGAGCCGGCGCTGGCAACGGAACGCCGCGCGACTGCTGGTGACCCTAAGGGAAAAAGAGACCTGCTGAAAGAGGGGATGGATGAGTTGGGGTCACCTATGCTCCAAACATCCTGCACTGCGCGTACTCTACGCAACGGCCCCACGCAACCGGCCCATTTCGAACTTGATGACGGGTCTGGAGCCTTCTGAATCGATTCTTGCCCTATTGCGCGGCCACCTGAGTCTCCTTCGTGCAGCCGCGCGACCGAAACAGGCACGTGGAGGGTCGGGGGACTTAGTAAGTAGATAGTCCCCAGTAGACTCATGAGTACCCTACAAGGGGCCCCAATTGGAGTTTTTCCTACTTGTAGCTCTATAAGATGGCTACTTACTCAGTCCTTCACGAGCAAGCACTGAAAGCCCCTACAGGGGTGTGTAGCGCGGTGTGTGGGAGGCAGCAGACTTCTGCTGTTGCCGCGCGGAAACATACACACCAGGCGCCAAGCGCTCACTCCCTCCCGACCCTCCAGGCGTTAACTGGAAACATCTTCAGCCCGCGCCCTCGCCTTAAAACCCTAAACCCTAAGCCCTAAGCCCGAAGCCCTAAGCCCTAAACCTCCGCTACTCCACCACCTTGCACTCCAGCATCGGGCGGCCCACCGTGGTGTAGTCGCTGCGCCGTCCCCGGCCGGGATGAAGGGTCCCGTCCGACCGGAAGATCCTTGGATGACCTCTGGGAACCCTCCGGAGAACAGTGTAACTCTCAGGCTCCTATTGTAGTTTCTACAAAAAACACAAAAAAAAATCCAGTCCTAAGCCCTACACCCTACACCCTAAACCCTAAGCCCTGAAAAACTACACCCTAACCCCTAAGAAGAAAGCCAAGGATCTGCACTGTCTTGCCACCCACATGCGCGACCGAGAAGTGTTGACCGTCCACGTCGCCGACCCGGAAGTTCCCGATCTGCACGAAGCGATCCTCGGGGGGATTGCCAAAGACATTTAAGGGGTCCATTCGGCATACCAAGGGGGCTAATGTAGATTATGTAGGACGTTATACAGAGGTTCTATAGATCTCCTAGCTAGGGGCACACGGGCCGCCAAGAGAAGCTTCTGAAAACCGAAGCAAGCCAAGAATCCCCGAAGGTGATGCCCAAGGGGCGCATTCAAAACGGGGCGGGAGCTGTGCCACAAGCCCCAGTCTCCACGAGGCCCAGGATGCAAGGTGCCGTCTGCACGGAAGATCTGCACAGTAAGACCTTGGCTGTGGGGCCCGGAGGCCCTAATAGGGCCCGTAAAGGAGCCCTGACGCCCATACAGCTAGAGCCCTTCTTAAGGCCCTTAGAGCCCGTAGAGCCCTTAGAGCCCTGAAAGCACTTAGAGCCCTTGAGCCCTTACCCTTAGAACCCTTTAGAGAAGCGCCCTTGGAAAAAAAAAACCCTTAAAGGCCTTAGAGCTCTTCGAGCCCGTAGAGGGCCCGTAACGCCCATAAATTGCCCGGGCCTCTGCGGCGACCTGAGTTGTGGGAGATGGAGAAGTGGTCCGCATCCACTTCGCCCATCCGGAAGTAGCCGAACTGGATGAAGCGATCACCAAATTTAATCCCCCTTCTTCTTCTCGAGCTGGGTTGCCTGGGCTGCTGTCCAGCAACTTATGAATGCAAGAAAGGCGGACAATCAACACTAAGGCGTCCGTGCCATGATTGCGATGACTTATCTATATATATATGTATACATATATACATACAAACACACATACAGACCTGGTCAGGACGCTGGCCCGGTCGAGGGGCAGTTCACAGCCTAGTTTTGGTCAAGGGAATGCAGAACAGTTGGGCAGCATTGTCTAGAACTTCATCTCTTTGCAGCCCTGCCCCCGCAAGGCTGGGATCGGGACGGTGCGCAACAGCGTGCGCAGTGGCACAGCATGCCCCGCTGGACAAGGCAAAACCAAACTTTAGGAACTAAACCGTAAAAATAGACATGCAGGGTGGCTTGGGGTGAGCCTACCGCCGAGTGATGTTGCGAGCGACCCGGGCAGAGGGGCCGGGTAGAAAAAATGAGGTGAGGCCCCGGGCCCCGGCGCCCAGCGAGCAACCCAGAACGCAACACACCCTAAACCCTAAACCCTAAACCCTAAACCCTAAACCCTAAACCCTAAACCCTAAACCCTAAACCCTAAACCTTCGGCAGGGAGAGAAAAGAAAGAGAGAGAGAAAGAGAGAGAGAGAGACAGAGAGACAGAGACAGAGAGAGAGCGCGACCCAAGCGGCCTGGGCTCTCGGCCCCAGCTGCCCCAGTCAGAGCGGGGCCCCGGACGCAGGGTCCCATCGCCACGGTAGATCTGGGCGGTCGTGCCTGTCTCTTTAGGGTTTAGGGTTTAAGGCTTAGGGTTTAGGGTTTAGGGCTTAGGGTTTAGGGCTTCGGGCTACCCTCTGAAGGCCTCCCTTGTGCGACACCGAGAAGTGCTGGGAATCCATGTTCGCGAGGCGCCAGTCCCCAATCTGCATGAAGTCCTCGCCCGTGAAGGGTTTAGGCTTGAGGTTTGAGGGTTCAGGGTTTAGGGTTTAGGGTTTAGGGTTTAGGGTTTAGGGTTTAGGGTGTAGGGTTTAGGGTTTAGGGCTTAGGGTTTAGGGTTTAGGGTTTAGGGTTTAGGGTTTAGGGTACCATGAAGTCCTGGCCCATGACGATTCCGGGGCAGGTGCCCAGGATCTCGTAGATATTCCTCAGCATGGAGGCATCTTTGCGGCCTAGACATACACCGTGAACTCTTTAGGGACAATTTTTATTAGGGGCTAAGGAGGAAGGTGTCAAACAGAACTTTAGACACTCCTGACAACGCATCATGGGCTTCTAAACAATCCTTAACTATTAACTATGGGGGGAGAACCTGGAAAGGAGGGTAGTATAGAGGGGGGTAGAATACTAAACCCTACACCGGCGGAGGGTGTGTGTTTTTTAAAGGTGCTGCTCGGGCCTGCTTTTTCTTGAAGGTGTGGCTCAGCTTGGCTTGGCAAATACTGTAAATAGCAGCATTTCTGTTTTCAGGCCGCAAATACTGTAAATGGCAGCATTTCTGCGTTTGCAGAGGCTGCAAATACGGTAACTAGCAGCATTTCTGGGTTGTCAAAGGCTGCAAATACTGTAAATAGCAGCATGTCTGCGTTGTCAAAGGCTTCAAGTACTGTAAATAGCAGCATTTCTGCGTCGTCAAAGGCTGCAAATACTGTAATTTGCAGCATTTCTGCTTTTTCAAAAGCTGCAGATACTGTAAACAGCAGCATTTCTGCGAATTTAGAGGCTGCAAATACTGTAAATAGCAGCATTTCTGACTTTGCAGAGGCTGCAAGTACTGTAAACATACTGTACATGGCAGCATTTTTTGAGTTTCAGACGCTGCAGTAAAATAAGGCATTTCTGAATATTCAGAAGCTGCAAATGCTGTCAATATCAGCATGAGACAAAACAAACGGAATGGGATCATATGCTCTGACGCATGCTTGCTCGGCCTAAAAAAGCGGGGGGTTGGTGCGCCCCATTTGCTAACAAAATGCTCGAACGATGGGTTTGGAAAGGATCAGATGGTGCACAGCTCACAAAAGCCGGGGGCTTGAATGGTGGGTTTGTAGGGGATCATATGGTGTTTGAGGCAAACTTGCACGGCTTAAAACAAGGCTGCAAATACTGTAAGGAGCAGCATTTCTGCATTTTCAGATGCTGCAAATACTGCAAATAGCAGCATTGCTGCCTTTGCAAAGGCACATTGTACATAGCAGCATTCTGAATTTTCAGGCGCTGCAAATACTGCAAAGAGCGGCAGTTCTGAATTTCGCAAGCTGCAAATGCTGTAAGTACCAGCATGAGACAAAACAAATGGAAGGGAATTATGTTCTTTGACGCAAGCTTGCTCGGCCAAAAAAATGCGGAGGGTTGGGGGGGGCACAACCCCCCCCCCTTTGAAAACACAATGCTCGAATCATGGGTTTGGAAAGGATTCTAATGGTGCCGGCTCACGAAAGCGGCAAGATTGGGGGGTCACAACCATTTGCAAACAGAATGCTCGCACG